GTCGAAAAAAATGACTTAAATTATATTGGAAGTTAACTAAAAGTATCGTTACCTCGTATCTCGAGGAATTAGTGTACTGTTAAAATCAAAGAAATACTATTCATGATAAAATTATATTTTTTATGACCATTTATAAAATCTACTTTGGATAATATTGCTTTGTAGCGATTTCCACTCTTGGTTTTACTATTTATGCGCTTATTATGTTATGCATACTCGTATTGTTATTATTATGTTATGCATATGTATGTATGCATATTATCCATACCTGGTACATGTACATATTCGCAATATTTTCTAGGTTTGTATATGTATGTTTGTCCGAAAAAATCTCACTATTGAAAATTACTAAATACAAGTTACTCATTTTTCATGTTTAACATAATATGTACCTAAAATTTTAAGGAAACATTTAAAAATAGTACAGTACCCGACGATAGGTAAATTGATAATGTTTTTGTTACAATTCCAATCAATTAAAATTTTGCGGAGAAGTAAAATGTCAATTTGGATAACGATTGTTTGTACGTTCAGGTGGCATTTTAAAGTGAGTTAAAGAAAAAATATAGCTGGTTGCAAATATGAAAAATAAAAACTAAAATTTTTGACATCCACTTTTTTTCCACTTAATTTCAACTTACATGTTTTTATACCGTACTAATTATGTTTGTCCTGTTTAGATAGAAGCCCATGGGCTTCAGATAGAAGCCCATGTGATTGCAATTTAATTTATTTTTTTTTTTTTGACAATTTTATTATTGGTGTTGGAAAAATTTTCAATCGAATTCAGTCCTAAGAATACCATTTTATTTTAATTTCATTAATGGAATGTTACGATCAACTGCCTCGAATGCTCGAAAAGCTGCACAATTACAAAATTATTTTCTTCAGTTACCTTTAAACAATGCTTTTCAGCAAACTTTCTTTATTGTTGTATTTATTCTTAGATTTCTTCTTACAGTGGTGTGGTGTAACATTAATTGGTTTGTTTTAATGCTTTGATTTGGAATCGCTAATTTTAAAATTGGTATCGTGTCTGTGAAAGGAAATATATTTTGACACATTGACATGATAATAATAGAACAAGTTCGTTGGATAATGTGTCGAAAAAATCACTAACTATATTATTAATACTTATACCATAATCGTCAGCATTTCATTTCATACTTCATTCTTTCAACGATAACATAGTGTTTTTTTTTTTATTTTTATCAAATTTTATGATGTTTTTTCTATTAATTTCCACATTACTCGGTTATTTTTTAGTACTTTTCCAAAAAAACTTTGAAAAAAAGTGCTTGTTAGTTCCACTCTGTCCGTCCCTCTGTCCGTTTCATAATTACATAGATCTTTACTACAGAAAATTACTTCCGTAGAAAAAAATGTTTAACTATCAGTATTTTCACCTGCTGGAGAAAATCTCTACATTACAAACCATTGGTTTGACTCAACTTTATTTTTTTTTTTACTGAATTTGTATATAAACATACAATTTTTCACCCTGCATCTTCGTAAAAGACATATTAACTTTGGTTTGGAGGTTGTAATAACTTGAAGAAGTCGTTTACATGGAAATGTGTAGTTCTTCGTTTATTTAGACATGTCCGTCCGCCCGTTCGATCGCACGACAACGCAGAAACGAATAAGACAATAGCACTAAACTTTCACACAATGTTTCTTCTGTTTCTTTTAAATCCTATTGTATTGCATAGGCTTAATCACTTGGTTATATATCAACACCTTATTATACATATATTTCCAATATGGACCCCTTATTATATATTGCCAATAGTTTTCTCTATATTTGTTTTCTAATTCTATTTTTCTCTTCTTTACATTTTCTTTCCATATGAGCTTGACATTCAAAGTCATACGTAGGTATTTCCATCGTCGGGAAATATAGCTACAGTAACACCCTCTAAATCTGGCAAACCGCTTATATAGAGCACTTATAATATAGAACCCAGAATACCGCCTACAGGTACACCAGCTTAATTACTGCTAAATTTGAACGTCCTGCTTAATTTGAAATTAATTTCAAAATAAAATTCATCCTGCCTGCTAAATAAATATAATTCAAGCAATTCCATGAATTACAAAGGTATCATTTTCATAAATTTAAATCATAAACCGTCGTGCAAAATGATACTGATTCAAAATTTTCCCATTTTCTTGACTAAAATAGGTCGGCACCGTTTTTTAGCTATTTTCTCACTATGCGTTAATATGACAGCAGAGTAATCGAAATTCAAATTATTTAAAAATTTGCCAATTAAAAATACAAAAAAAATTACCAGTAGCCCAGTAAGTCGGGCTGCCAAAAGAATGGTAGAAAAATCCTCTAACAATTTTAATGGGATGGCTACACTGGTTTGGGTAGCTGCCATAGAACTCCAAAAGCTAATTTATATATTCCGAAAGTTGATTTTAGTTTTATTATACAGAAGCTTTCCATAATTTATTCTACTTATCCTGCCTACAAATTTATTAATATGTATTCCAAGATTTGCACTTTTTAGTTTTATTAACTTCCCTCCAATTTATAAATTATATGGTACTTTCCAGAAGTGTTAATGAATAACACTTATTTCAAATTTTGGAAATTTTATACTGTTTGGGTGATTTAATCAACTATACTTGTAATATACTGTAGACGCAATGTGATTTCGCCATAAATATTCACAAGTTTTTCTGTGACTTTTTGAATAGGTTTATTTTTCATCATTGATTTAGAAAAAATAAGCCTATTCGTTTGACTTTTAATTTCTTACGGTTTAGATAGTATACAAATAATTTCCTTTTCCGAAAACTATTTACCGGTGTCATTTGAAGTTTTATTTACTTTTATGAATTTAAACGGTTTAGGAGATACACACTATTAAAAATTCAACAAAATGCAAATTATAGGTGTGATAAATTTGTTGTTTTATCATAAGTTTTCTATAATCCTTAATAATTGCTCTCTATTCTAGATATTTTGCAATACCAAATTCTTTTGCTTACATAATATGGAACTTAAACGAGAACTTTATACAGTTTATTTTAAATCATAAAAAAATTCTAAATTTCTTTTCCTCAACTGTATTTAGTAATGTTAAACACTTAATATTTAAAATAAACTGTATTTAGAAATATTAGAATGATATATTAGAATGATATATTTTTATTTAATTAAAACTAATTTCAATAAAAAAAATAATATCATATGGCTTGCTACTTATATGCATATATGTTATGTATATATAAATATATTTATGAAAACTAAAATAAATAATTCGGGAATAATTTCAGTCAAAAAACTAGATTCTTGCATTTTGTATGAAACATATCAGGAAATTTTATTCTAGAGTTCAATGTTGATTTTCGAAACCACGCATTATTGTTCTAATTAGATAGATTTGATTCGCCCATTTGCATATAAAAATGTTATAAATTTATAGTAATAAATGTATGAAAGTATAAATAGATATTGAGATTCATTAGTTATTCATTTGTTAAAGATGTAGTATCTAGACTTATGTCAACTTAAACATTTTGAGCTATCAAATCAATTACATATTTATATTTGTAAATCACAATCCAAATATTTAAAAAAATTAATGACAACAGAAAAAAACCATTACATTGCTGCTGTACATTTACAAGTGTACCCTTTGAAAGGAAAGTACCCTTTATTATTTAAAATAAAGAATATTTTATTTTTACGAAATACTTTTTGACTATATATAATGAAACTTTTTTTAGCTTAAATGAAACAAAATTTTATTTTACTTATTTGATTTTTTTTGCTTTAAATTAAAATAATCAAATAAAACTAAATTTTTAAAAAACTAAATTTTATAATAAACTATAAATAAACCATCCGATTTCGAAGTAAGCTCAGATCTTATTTGTGGTGAAAATCGGCTCAGCTGAACCTGAGATACAGAAATGCACAGACAGACTAACAGAAAGGCATCGCTCTAAAAATAATTTATTTACGCTTCCCTAGAAAGGTGCATTTCCGCCGAAAACTCGACATGCGACATTTAGAACCATTACATAACCTCCCTTATTACATACATATGTATGTACATATATGCAATGTGGTCGGTAAAACATTATCATGTCTAAGCAGATAATTAAATTAAGTTAACTTTCATTATTATGTACTTAAATATCGTGTGATGCTGTTTCCATACACAAAAACTTAGTTATATAATTTGCTCGAAGATAATGAAAATAATCGCACGACTCTAATACGTGTTTAGCGCTTAAGGAACTAATCATTGTTGCAAAAATATTCCGAAGACTTTTTCTCCGAATAATTTTATTGTATGCCCGAATATGTATTATAGGTTTGTATTCGACATTGATAATTTTGCGATCATTCTGTTACTATGCTTATTAAAATAGCTTGTGTTTCATATCAGTTTTTCAAAATAAATAGATGATTAGCGCTTAGACTAAATTTTATAGTTATAGGTTACTATATTATTCAAACAAAAAACTTGCTTTGTTACAAAAAAATTCGTGCAAAATAAATTGCAATTACATAAGTAGCTATATAAAATTATAATATAAGTATGTTTGTATATATTTAGCTAATGCAGAATAACACAAGAGTCTAACAAATAAAAAATTAAAAGAAATACTAACAATAGAGTAAGATCAAATGACAAAATAAAAATTAAAAAATATGTAAATAAATATTTATATAGATATAAAATCATATAAATATGTATGTTCCTACATGCTTATAATAAATATGAGCTCTGCTGAAGCTACATAATAGTTAAGATACACATTACAATAGTGCTAAACAAACATTTTCAACTCCATACACAGTTAACACAAGAAATAATTTTTCGTTCATGGCCTTTCTCTTTTATATAGCATGGAAATAAGAAAAAATGGAAAAGCACCATCATCTTGTCAATTTTTTGTCTTCAATGCTTTTTTCTTTTATAAATTATAGTACAACTAGGTGGTTTGTTTGATTCGTGATTCGTACAGCATGCAGTAAAGACATGTTTCGCGTTCTGCTTAAAATAAATTAAAAAATTAAAAAAAAATTATATTACATAATTCATTTATTTTATAATTATAATCAATTAAAAAAAAATAAACGAAAATTCATTTCGTTTTTCATTAATTAATAAAAATTTAATAAAAAAAAATTATTTTATAATAATATGATTTTTGTTAAAGAGAAAACTGTTTAAACCGAAGTTTATTTTCATGTGATCAAAAATATAAAAAATACTAAAAATAAAATCTAAAACTTCCAAATTTTAAGGAGATTGTTTTTGAATTTTTAAATTTAAAATTCAAATCTAAAGAACTGAAAATTAAATAACCTCGAGGCTAATCAAAATATAATAATAACAAGACAATAGGCTGTCAATCAAAAATAAAAATGAAAGGAAAATTTATTATGTGCCTTATAATAGGTAGTATTTTTGTAGTTCATTATTTTCTTTAGTTACAAAATTACAATAAAGAAAATTAGCTATGAGAAAAAAAATAATAGCACCAACAGAAAAAAAATTTTATTAAAAACACATAAGCAGTTTTTTTTTTTTGACTTTTAAGTGTGAATTTTGATTCCATTGTGAGAATTCACTAACAAAAAAAAGAAAAAACCAAAAATTCTGTGTTGTTGCTTAAAGGAAAAATTGAATTTGAAATAATTATTTGTTTAATTATGAGAGTTTTTTTTTTAGATAATATAAATGAAAATAGGATTATACAATTGCAATCTAGAAAAATAATTCAAAATAAATTGTGCTGGAAATTGAAATATTTTATAATATATGAAGAAAAAAATGGAAAAGATACATTTTTCAGTTAAAATGACGAAACTATAAAGTTTTCAGCCTTATTATATTGTTATTTCAATTATGTTTAAATCACTTTATTTTTACGATATTTAATTTTAAAAATTTTCCTTTCAGATTTTTTTTATTTCATTTAGTTACATAAATTTAGTTGCACTTTGGTTTTACGAAATAAACGAAGATTATTCGTTTCTAAACGTATTTAAAAACCTTCGATAATCTGCATTCATTAACATACATCTTCTTCTACTTACAAAGAATTTTTATCTACTTACAAAGCATTTCGTATAATACAGCTCAGAACACTACTTAAAAATAAAAATCACTTTATTTATTGTGAACAAATGAAGACGACTGAAACATTTTTTTAAATAACATAGGCTTCTTATTTTGTTTTTTACCATTCTAATTGTTTTTTACCATTTTTAAGCTTTTTATGTGACCTTCACAGAATTTCAGGACGGCCCTTGAAAATAAGTTGGACAGCACTGCTCTAATTGAAACAAAGTATGTTTTAATATTAAGTAACTACTCGATTCCAAGTCGATTCCCTGCTCGATTCCAAATTGGAAAAGGTTAATAATTAATAACTTTTTTAATTTTCTCTGGAAGCAATTGCTTTTACATGTTTTTCAATTTAATTATTTAAGTCTCATTTGCTGGGGTCTCATTCTGGATTACACTTCACTTTTTTCCCCAACCGGTGAAAGCAAATTCAAGCGTTTTTCACAATTCGTTAAACGATGTTTAGTAATTTAAAAAAATAAAACATTTAATTAAAACAACGCAAATTATTATTTGACTGAAAAAGTGAGATCCAGAAAAAAGTCATTAAAATGTTCAGTTCAGACTAATATTATATTAATTTAGACAGAATAACAAAATTCATATTCAGTAAATACGTATAGGATGTCCTCGTATATACTAACTCTCCGTTATTTTAAAAGATAAAATTCACTTTCGATGTTGCATTAACAAAATTATTTTTTAGTAAAATGCAACATTTTCTATCTATGTTCCATTTTAGGCCATTTGTTATTTAAAAACTAAATGAAATCTTTTTATTCATTCAAAATTTCTACATATAATACAATTTAATTTCATTTTAACGATCTCCTCACTTTCAACTTTATTTCAAATTAAACTTAAAAAAACATTCTCAAAGCTGGACCTTATTTCATAATTTTCTTAATTAAAATTTGGTGCGGAGATAAGTAATTGAATGTGCGGTGCGAATAATATTGTAACCAGCAAATCAACAACTTTTCGGGGCGCAAAAAAAAATTGTTAACAAGTGCCGTATTTTGTTTATATAAATTTTTTTGGCATATTCTGGTTTATTTCATAATTTTAAACTTTCATTTCGAAAAATATTAAAATATGATTAATTGAGGGGTCGAAATCAGAAAAATAAAAATATATTGAAAGATTATTTTCCAATAATTGAAAATATCGCACTAAGTTCAATTCCATAACTAACTATGCAATAAAATTTAAATATCTATATAGGAACAATTGTACAATAGAGGACTTGTTCTTTAAATTTTTTGCATTCTTCCTTCTTCATTGGTGGACTTATTTCAGTTTCATTCCTTGCATTGAATTGTAAACTTCTTTCGATTACTTCTTGAGCAACAAATTCAGCAGTTACCGTGGCTTCGTTGATATGAGTTTTCAAGAGTTACAATGTGTAGAAGGAACGTATTTTTTGGTAATGTACAATCTGAATTAGCTCCTAAATCTTAAGATAACATATAATCTAATAAATTCTCTCTATATGAGTTTAATGTAAAATGTGCGGCTTTTAACCCGATCATTAAACTTTCGTTATGCATCGAAAGAGCATAAAACGCTTCATATCTTGTTTTCATATAATTCCATAAAAATCTTGTGTAGATAATATTATAGTGTATCTCGTTTTGCATTGTTATAAAAAATAATAAGAGAAATAAAATTTTTTTGATATCTCTAACATGATTTCTAATTTTATAAAAATTTCGTTGCAGAAAAAAAATCACGAATTTAAATCGAAAATTTCAAATAAACTATAGTATACATGTATAAATCTTTAGACAGACAAATCGTTATTTACCACTAAAGGCAATTAGTATATAATAGATTTACAATTGTAATGGGTTCTGTCAATGAAGGATTTTATTAAATTGAAGATTTTTTAAGATTTGCACCACATCTTAACTCTTTACGGCATCTTTTTTCTTAAATAACCAACTAAAATATTTGCTAATTTTTAATTGTCTAAATGATATTTAGTTTTCTTTCAATGAAATTTCTGCTCTGCTTGAAAATTAAGTATTAAATATTTTACAGTAAAACATAAATGGAAGAATAATTAATTCAAAAACCAAAAGGCAAGCGAACGAAAATATTGAAAAACACTCTAATGCTGAAATACAACACCAAAGTTAGTGCATAAGATACTTACATAATGTATTTGATAGAAAGCTCACGGATAAAAAAGTTGAGCTTTCTTTTTAATGAATTACTTTGATACTCTCAAATTTTTTATTGTGTTATTTTATGTAAACCCTCTTTTGTGTTGTACATATACTTATTTGAGTAGTCTTAGTCTATTATACTTCTTTGTTATACTCAGTTCCATATTTATAAATGTTTTTAGATTACTGTTTTTAGATGTTTTTAGATTTTATTTTCTAAATAAAATAATTGTTTCGACATCACGCTATATTTTCTTAAAAAATAACAGTTATATATTGCTATCTCATTTTTTGCGAAAATTTTCGAATGAAACTTAAATTCAAGTTAAGAAGAATAAAATGAAAAAGCTGATGTGATCAACACATAATCGACCGCAATGTGTATTATTTAGTTAAGTGAAAGTGTTACAGAATATTATAAAAATGCCTTTTAAATACTTATTTCCAATTTTTAAGGCGTTAGAAAGCTTTTAGTTAATATACCTAGAAAAATGTAATTTTGGTTCTTAGTAGGGTTTCTCTTTGTGCCATCCGAATTCCCTGAAATGCTCTCCAGCTAGTTTCAGTAACAACCAGAAGTCAAAGATCAATATTTTAAGAAATTCCATTAATTAGTTCCATAGATATGATAGCAAATGCAAATTTGGCCCCTAGTTCGATTTCCGAGCCCTGATCGTTCCAAAAAATTTATGTGTTCATTATTTTAACACTCCAGATTTAAATATTTAGTTTCAAGAAAATTTAAATTTCGTACACACACAGACCGACAGACCGAAGGTTGCTAAAAATGGTTTATTTACATCCTCCTACCGTGAAGAAGTGCGATCCCACCGAAAACTCGATATGCAAGATTTGTTGCCATCAGATGACCTCCCTTATTGCATATGATGCGGTTAAATAAAGTTGCGTCAAACGAATAATTTGTTAAGTAGCACTCTTACCTTTAAGCATCAATTTTGACTTAAAGCCTCTTAATTATACGAAAGAAAGAAAAGGCTAAGAACTAACGCTAAGAAGTAGAGGATTGAAATATAAACATACGCACATATACATATGTATCATTGATCATGGTTTACCTAGTTTTGTCACCGCACAAACCTTATTGATTATGAACTAAATCAATTTTAGTAGCTACAATTTGAGTTATACCGTTTTAGATACGAAATCACAAATTGTGTTTTGATATTAAAAAACTCATTCTTAACACGTTAAAAAAATTGGCAAGAATTTATATTTTTCTCGTTTTAAATTTAAGTTGTGTTTGTTATATCGATATAAGAAACTATTCAAAATATGTACTTTAATTAGTATTACAATTTAAGTAAAATTAATTTTAATTAATAAAATCAACAATATTTTAATTAGTCATATAGTTATGTATGCACTATAAAACTGAAAATATTTCGATAAACTACATATAAAGCAACATGGAAATACAGAATGAAAATTAAAAGCGCAGTTAAATTAGTAATTTATTTTTTCAATGACAAATGTGCTTTTATTGTCAAAAATAAGAAATTTTGCAAAAGCTTATTTAGCTTAATAAATTGATAAAAATTTTGAAGAAAAAAAGAAATGTTATTGCTAATCCGGCTATAATTTTTTAAATTTTAATATTAATATTAAGATGCTTTTGTGGTTAGGCATCATTCGGAACACAATCATAGCCGTCCCAAAATGTTTACAATTTTCATAATGTTGTAGAAAATTAAATTGCGTAATGTTTACTTTTAAAATAAACCTTTTTTATTTTTCAGTTTCGTAATATTGTTGGGCTTTTTTCGGTTCCCTTTTTATTGCTTATCCACTCACTTTTAATTTAAATAAAGTTGCGTCAAACCAATAGTTTGTAAAGTAGCACTTTTCCCTTTAACAAATGAAAATATAATTAAAATTACTTTCATTCATATACGAAGATATTTTAAGGATTGCATATATTTAGGATGAGACAAAAAACAAATTGAAAGGATCGTCAACGTAAAACTCGAATTTAAGGTTTATTGCGTGAGTTAAGAAAAATAATTGTATTTTTTAATGGTTGGCATTTACCGTTTTTTGCATTTACAGAAATTTTAAAAAATTTCTGTAATTGCAGAAATTTTGTACAGAATTTTACAAATTTCGATTGGTAATAACTTGAGAGGGTTACAAATTTCA